AGGGAGGGGGTGTAGGGGCTGGAGGAGGTTACAGAGATAGGGAGGGGGTGTAGGGGCTGGAGGGGGTTACAGAGATAGGGAGGGGGTGTACGAGCTGGAGGGGGTTACAGAGATAGGGAGGGGGTGTAGGGGGCTGGAGGAGGTTACAGAGCCAGGGAAAGATGAAGGGGCTGTAATTAGGGAACCATGTATCCAGCAGAGAGAGCAACGATGGAGTAGAATAAAGTAGCACAGCCGCAGTAGGGCTATTTAGTGCACCAAATCTGTCTTGGCTTGTTTGAACACGAATTCAATTGTTCTGATACCCTCTCTTTTCCCATATGCCACAATCTTCATCCCTAGTGTGTAATGTTAAAAAAATTAAATTTCTCATTTAATTTCTGCATATTTTGCCATTCATCTTAAAAGTGTCCCCTTGTGTTCTTGATCCTTCAACTGGAAATAGATCGTCCTCATTTAATCTATCAAAACCCTTCATGATTTTAAACACCTTTATCGAATTGCTCCCTTCCTTTCTCTGCTTAACTAACTGTAATCCTTCATCTTTCGAACCATTCTTGTAAATCACTTCTGCGCGCTGTTCAAAGGCTTGTTTTCTTCCTAACATACGGTACCCATAATTGAAGGCAGCGCTCCAGCTGAGGCCTACACAATGGCTTATTCTGGTTTAGTGTGATAGTGTAAAGCACAGGGAAGAGAAACTGTCTCAGAAGAGGATCTCCTGAAGCCTTCAGTCCTCTAATAGCCTTAAATCCCTTTGTGGTCATGTCACTGAACTGAACATCTAGAGACCCAGCTAAAGACTCTGGGGATAAGGGTTCAAATCCTACGATGACCCCTGAATCTGGAATTGAAAACTAGTCCAGTGATGATGACTGTGAAGCTATTGATTATTGTTTTAAAAATCAAAATTGTTGTTCCTTCACTGGTCAAAATTCTGGAACTCCGCCTCTAACAGCATTGTGGGTTTTCCTTTGTGCTAAGGATGGCAGCGGCTCAAAAAGACAGCTCACCATCACCATCTCAAGGGGCAACTCTGGATGGGCAATAAATGATGACTCAGTGAGTAACACCACCTTCCGTGAATGAATGAAAAGCAAAAAAAAATGTAGTTCTCAAACACCCTTTTGGGGAGAAAATCTGCTGTCCTTACCCAGTATGACATAGATGTGACTCCTGATTCTTAGTAATTGGGTTGACTCTTAACTTGACTCCAAAATTGGCTCGCCAGCCAATCAGTTCAAGGGCTATTAGAAAGAGGCTGCAAATGACCTCCCAAACAAAGCTCGCATTCTGTGAAAGAATAAAGATTAAAAAAAATTTACTTCATTTGCTGTGAGGGGTGACACATAGAGGCTTATAAAATCATGAGGGGCATGGATATGATGAATAGCCAAGTTCTTTTCTGCAGGGTCGGGGAGTCCAAAACTAGAGGGCGTAGGTTTAAGGTGAGAGGGGAAAGATTTAAAAGGGATTTAAGGAGCAACATTTTCACATAGAGGGTGGTGCGTGTTTGGAATGAGCTGCCAGAGGAAGTGGTGGAGGCTGGTACAGTTACAACATTTAAAAGGCATCTAAATGGGTCTATGAATAGGAAGGGTTTAGAGGGATATGGGCCAAATGGTGGCAAATGGGACTAGATTTATCTAGAATACCTGGTCGGCACGGACAAGTTGGACCGAAGCATCTGTTTCCATGCTGTACATCTCTATAACTTGTCTCCTCTCCTTTACAGAATGAACAGCCTGCCAAAAAGAAGAGAAAAACCACAGATGCTTCCAGTCAGATAAGTGAGCACTCTTGTGTTGTGTTTCCAACCAGTTATCATGTGTAGAAAATGGAAATTATCTTAGATCGGTAAGACAGGAATGAGAGCAGGGGGTGGAAGGCAGATTGTACAAGGACTGGATGAAGAGACCGGAGGTGTGGTTGCCAAATTTGCTGATGTCACAACGATGGGGAGGAAATTAGATTGTGAAGTTGAAATAAGGGGGCTGGAAAGAAGTTATAAATCTGGTAAATGGGGCATAATGTGGGAAAATTGTCCATTTTGGTAGGAAGAATAAAAAAGAAACATAAGCAGTGAGAGATTGCAGAGGAATCTGGGTATCCTCATGCATGAATGGTGAAAGTTTAGTGTTCGGGTACAACCAGGAATCAGGAAAGCTGAAAGAATATTAATGTTTATTGTAGGAGGAATTGAATGAACTGATAAGGAGGTCATGCTTCAGTTGTATAGGGCATTGGTGAAAACACATCTGACATACTGTGCACGTTTTTGAGCCTCTTATCTGAAGAAGGATGTAAATGCATTGGAGGCAATTCAGAGAAGGTTTATTGTACTTAGATCTGGGAATGGGCTTGGATGTCTCACAGGAGTAGTTTGCACAGCTTAGGTTTGTACCTGCTGCTGTTTAGAACAGTAAGAGATGAATGGATATGGAGATAACGCTTCCTGTTTTGGAAGAATCTAGAATGAGGTGTCACCATTTCGAAATAAGGTGTTCTCCACTTCAAACTGAGAAACTGCCTCTGAGGTTCACGAGTCATTTTAAGTCTCTGCCTCAGAAGCAGAATGCTTGAGGGCAGATGTAGACCAATTCTGGAGAAGTGAAGGAGTAAAAGTTTATCAGGACGGTAGAGTCATCTGATGCGGTATGATCTTATTGAATGGCAGATGGTAGAATGGCTGTGTTGGCTTTGATTTAGTGCTCCTCTGTAGAAACTGCTGTGTTTATTGACATTACAGCTTCTACACGACCTGCGACAAAACAGAGCTTTCTCAGTCATGTGCAGAATTGCGAGTATTTCTCATAAATCAGACATACTGTACCGATCCCCGAGAGCTTGTTCCAGGATGGTGGAGACCATTGCAATAACCTGCAATTTTTTTTCTGTGCAGATCCCAAACAGAAGAAGGTGAAGGTGTCCACTGTCAATACTGCTCAATGGAAACCATTACCCCAGAGTACGAAAGACTACATCACTGCAGCAGTCGACATTGCTATATAGTATGTAGCTATCAAGCTGATTGTATAATGTTTCATTAATGGCTTTGATTTGTCTTGAGTGCAGAACTTTTGGTGCTTGAGAACAGCCTGGTTTCAGTCTTTACAGGATCTTGAAGGAATTGAAGAAGGTGCATTTATAAGTGTGACACCAGTCTGGAGTATTGAACAGTCTGAGGCTTTTTCTTAAGACGAGGCATGATGGAAGGGTGACTTGTAAAGTCTTTAGTAAAATGGATGTGCCTACTTTTGGGAGAGACCAGAATTAGGGGCCATAAATATAACATGATCGGCCCAACTGAAGCCACAGAGAATTTGAGGGCAGCCTCTTTCTCCCAGAGAGTAAAACAATGTGTATCTCACATTGTGCGTTAGTTAAGTCTTGCAGATGTGTTTAAGAGGGAGCTGGATAAACAAGTAAATGAGAAAAGAATGGAAGGATAAATTGGTGCAGGCACTGATAAAGAAAGGGGTGGGAGGAGGCTTGTTTGAAGCACAGACATAGTAAAACAGACCCAGTCCACTTCACTGGGAACTCCGTGTCAATGTGAATCACTCCCAGGGGAGACACAGCTGGAAGCAGAGTAAAGATCCCTCTGTCCTTGCATCTTCACACAATCTCAATCCAGCGACAGTTTTTGGAAAGAAGAGCTCTTTCTACACTGTGTCTTCATAAAATCCTAGATCAGGGGACAGTGGTGTTACTGGCCTTGTAATGTGGAGGTGTGGATGTGTAAAACCTGGCGGCTTGAAAATTTTTGTTCGGTTTAGAAAACTTTGGCAATAGATTCGAAACTGTCATCAGTCAAAATGCTGATGAAGGTTTTGGATGGGGTGACTGAAGAGAAATGATTTTGAATGGCGAATGAGCTGATAAGCAGAGGGCACAGAAATCAGGTGATTGGTTAAAGAAGCAGAAGAGTTGTGTTGGAAAAAACAGAGTTGTGATCTGGAATGCACTGCTTAAAAGGGGAAAGTGGAAGCAGATTCAGTTTAAGCCTTTGAAAGGGAATTTGGAAAGATAACTTTTAAAGGAGAAAAGTTGGAGAGCCATGGGGAGGAGTCGGACTAATTGGAGCCTGCATAGGCTAATCAGCATCTTCATGTAGCCTATGATTCCATAAGTTTTAGGAACAGAGAAGATAGGAGCAGGAGTAGGCCTTTCGATCCCTGGAGCCTGCTCTGCCATTCATTCAGATCATGGTTGATTATCGTGCTCAATGTCCTAATCCTGCCGCCCACCCATAATCCCTTATTCCCTTTAGCCACAGGAGGTATGTCTGCCTTCTGCTTGAAAACAAATCATGTTTTAGTCACAACCACTTTCTGTGATAGTGAACTCCACAGGCTCCCCACTCTCTGGATGAAGACCTGTCTCCTCATCTGATCATGAATAGTTTAGAAACTGTAGCGTTATTGTAAAACAAGAGAACATCTTGGTTTACTAATGTCTCTTTAAGGAAGGAAACATGCCTTCTTTAGGCCGTCTGGGCCTAAATATGACGCAAGACCGACAGATCCTATTAAAAGTTAATTCATGGGACATGGGCATTATTAGCTGGGCCAACATTTATTGCCCATCCCCAGCTGCCCCTTCAGAAGATGGTGGCGGGCTGCCTTCTTGAACTGTTGCAGATCATTTGGTCTAAGTACACCCACAATGCTGCATGGGAGGGAATTCTAGGATTTTGCCCCAGTAACACTGAAGGAACGGTGATATATTTCCAAGTCAGGATGGTGAGTGCCTTGGAAGGATGGTGTTCCCGTGTTTCTGCTGCCCTAGTCCTTCCAGATGGTAGTGGTTGTGAGTTCGGGAGGTGCTGTCTAAAGAGCTTTGGTGAATTTCTTTTGATGAGAAGGTGTCAGTGTTGGACTGGGGTGAACAAGGTCAGAGGTCACATGACATCAGGTTATAGTCCAACAGGTTTATTTGAAAACGCAAGCTTTTGGAGCCTTGCACCTCCTTCAGACACTAAAACCTGAAGAAGGGGCGAGGCTCCAAAAGCTTGCGTTTTCAAATAAACCTGTTGGACTATAACGTGGTGTTGTGTGATTTCTGAATTTCTTTTGGTGGATGTGGTGCCAGTCAAGCGGGGGCTGCTTTGTACTGGATGGTGTCGGGCTTCTTGAGTATTGTTGGAGCTGCCCCCATCCAGGGCAAGTGGGGAGTATTCCATCACACTCCTGACTTGCACCTCAGCTTTGGAGAGTCAGGAGGTGAGATAATGGTTGCAAGTTTCCCAGCCTCTGACCTTCAACATCCCTCTAAAGTGGGTCAGGAAATCACTTGTGTGTCTGAAGGAGACCCAAGAGAGTTTTTTTTTTCTGCGTCTGTGTCTCTTAATCGTGGGCACCCTGAAGGGACCCATAAGTGCAGTCAAGCAGGACTGTTTCTGACATTACAAGGTGTAGAGGTGGATGAACACAGCAGGCCAAGCAGCATCAGA